ACCATATCCACCATTACCGAAGGAGCCACCATCACCAAGCCAAACTGCCCACGTCGATGCGGAGATCTGACGGTTCCATACCCATTCGGCATCGGCATAGGAAGCGGTTGTGCCATCGGTGAGTCGTTTGAAGCCAACTGCAGCACCGCCTTCAATCCTCCCCGGCCGTTCATTGCAGAGACTGATATCGAAATTTACGATATTTCTGATAATCAAATGCGTATTGAAAATGTAGTGGCGTATAAGTGCTATAATGAATCCGGCGACATCGTGGACGAAAACACTTTTCCGATAAATATTACAGGGTTACCGTTCAGTTTCTCGGAATCCAACAAATTCACCGTGATTGGGTGCGATGACTACGCTTTCATGATTGACGAGATGTACCTTAGTGGGTGTATTTCTCAGTGTAACAGCACCGAAGCTGTACTGGACGGATATTGTTCCGGCATTAATGGTTGCTGCCAAATATCGATGCCAAAGAGTTTGAAGAACTACGTTAGCATTATGTATAGTGATAATAATCACACAGGCATCGTATCATTCAATCCCTGCAGCTATGCATTTCTAGGCGAGCAGGAGATGTTCACCTTCCGTAGCGTGGAAGATTTTCGGGATACCAATTTCAGTGAGAGGATCCGGAAAGCTGTCCCCATTGTTCTAGAATGGGCACTCAGTAATAGAACTTGTCACGAAGCTCAAGTTTCCTCGGACTATGCTTGTAGAAATAATAGTTTGTGTGTTGATACAAACAATGGTCTTGGAGGTTATCGTTGCAGCTGTATCAAAGGCTTCCGAGGAAATCCTTATCTCAGTCCCGGCTGCGAAGGTTTGTTTTTAATTACCGTAGACGCATGTTGAATTACTTTTCTAAACTGAAGTTCTCTTGAACAAAAAAATTGTATCAACTGTTAAGGAAATGACTTTTATCTTGTGATTGACATTTCATTTGCAACCACTTTTCCCATTATTTGGTGGCAGACATTGATGAGTGCGCAGATCCAAACAGCAACAACTGTGAAAAGATTTGCATTAATACACCTGGAGGTTTTTACTGTTCTTGTCCACACGGCTACTATGGGGATGGCTTTAAGGATAAACGTGGTTGCATTGCTAATAACTCCAAATTTCCTGTAATCAAGTATTCCTTAGGTAATTCTTATGATTTCTTGAAATTGTTTAGCACACCAAAACAGAATACAGATTCATTAATATCAACAATTATTCTTTTATTTAATTTATAATTTCAATCTTAACTTTCTTACAAATTCAATGTGCAGGTATTGGATTTGGGTTCTTGACATTAGTTATTGCAGTAACTTGGCTATATTTTAGCCTCAAGAAAAGGAAACTCATAAGAATGAGGGAGAAATTCTTTAAGCAAAATGGTGGTTTGTTGTTCGAACAACACCTCTCTTCAATTGAAAGCAACATGGAATCAAGGACGAAAATATTTACAGCAGAGGAGCTTGAAAAAGCTATGAACAACTATGCAGATGATCAAATTCTAGGAGGTGGTGGTTATGGTATTGTCTACAAAGGAATTCTTCCCGATAAACGCGTAGTTGCCATCAAAAAGTCCCGAGTAATGGATCAGAGCCAGATTGAGCAATTCGTCAATGAAATGGTTATTCTTACACAAGTTAACCATCGGAATGTGGTCAAGTTATTGGGATGTTGTTTGGAATCAGAAGTTCCTTTGTTAGTTTATGAGTACGTTTCGAATGGAACTCTTTTCCAGCACATTAATAATTGTGCAATGACTTGGTTATCATTGGAGAATCGTTTGAGAATAGCCTCAGAAGTTGCTGGTGCACTTTCATATCTTCATTCAGCAGCCTCTAAGCCTGTAATTCACAGAGACGTCAAGTCTACCAACATATTATTAGACGAACATTACACTGCAAAAATTTCAGATTTTGGGGCTTCAAGATTAATCTCCTTGGATCAAACTGAAGTGACAACGTTAGTCAAAGGAACACTCGGATATCTTGATCCCGAGTACTTCCACACGAGTCAACTGACTGAAAAAAGCGACGTTTACAGCTTCGGGGTAGTTCTTGCAGAACTTTTGACAGGGAAAAAACCCCTTGAAATGCAGAGACGCAAAGAAGAAAAAAATCTTGCTATATATTTCATCATGTCCATGAAAGAAAGTCGTTTGTTTTCTATTCTTGAGCCTCGGATATTGAGGGAAGGAACTTTAGAACAAATCCAATCCATTGCTGAACTTATCAAGAGATGTTTGTACTTGGTTGGTGAAAACAGACCTACAATGAAAGAAGTGGCAATGGAACTCGAAAGTTTGAGGAAATTCAATAAACATCCATGGGCTAATCAGTCTGTGCATGAAGAAAATGTTGGGTTAATGAATAATCAAAGTGAAGCATCGGATCTTTATACTGCTCCAAGCACCTCAAATGACTTGTATTCTATTCAAATGGGGCCTTATACAAGCACTGGGGATTTCTCTGGACAATACAACTCCGACAGTACTCGTTTGATGTTTCCTGTAAACAGCCATCGGTGATAGTTCATAGACAAATCATTCTTAGTATACGTTCAACGATGGCTTAGACCAGAGTCAAATCATGTAGCGTTCTTTTAATACTCTACAATCCATCTTACGAGTCATGCTATCACTTCTTTGTTTGTTTATGTTTCTTATTCATCTTCAATTTGGATTTCATCTTATGATTTATTTTGTCTAATCATTAATGTGTTAACGTATGTTAGATTCAGTTAGATCCATTCAAAACTGAAAGAGGTGGAGAAATATATGTAAGGATTTTAATCGAACATGTTGGCTTATATGTAAAATATTGTATATTAAGTTAAGGGAAGATTTCAAAACTAAGAGGTCAAATTTTACCAATTTCAAATTTAAGATAATAAGGTTTAAAATTTCAAATCTCAGATTTTTTAAAAATTTTATTTATAAATTAATTAATTAAACATATATTTTATTAATTAAATATATTAAGATCACAATTCTATATAATTGATCACAAATTACAAATTTTACATGTCATAAATTATTTTACGGACAAAATTCAAAAATTTTATAGGTCACAATTTATTCATCGATTACAAATAAAAAATTGAAATGTCACAATTCAAAAAATTTATATGTCACAATTTATTCATCGGTCACAAATTAGAAATTTTATAAGTCACAAATTAATATGATCACAATTTTGAAATTTTATAGGTCACAATTCAAAAATTTTATAAGTCACAATTTGTTCATCGGTCACAAATAAAAAAAATTATACGTCACAACTTATTCATCAATCACAAATCACAAATATTATAAGTCACAACTTAGTAGACAGTAACAAANTTTATAGATCACAATTTGTTCATCGCTAACAATTCAGAAATTTTAAGTCACAAATTATTTTACGATCACAAATCAAAAAATTTATAAGTCACAATTTGTTCATCGGTCACAAATCACAAGTAATTATCAAATTATCGGTCACATATTAACAAACTTTTAGGTCACACATTATTTATTTGTCACAAATTATCAAATTTTAAGGTCACGTTTTAATAGTCGGTCACGATGAACCAAATAATTGGTCACATGCACCAAAACACCCCACCCCTGATCCCGATCCACCACCAATATTTGGTCACAAATCAATCAAATAATTGATCACAGTCACTATCCCACAGCCGCCACTACCACGACAGCACCACAACACCACTAACAACAAAGCCACCACTAGATCCAATACACTCCAAACAATTTATTTTTCGGTCACAAATCTCAGATTGTACAGATCACAACTTATTTTATGGTCACAAAATATCAAACTAATTGCTCACTAATTATTTCTAACAAATTATCAAATTGTTGATGACAATTTAACATTTTTTACCGTATATTATTTATTGGTCACAAATTAATTGGTAACAAATTATTTTCGGTCACAAATCAAAAAATTTACATGTCACATATACTTATTGGTCATAAATTAACCAATTTATTGGTCACAACATCGAAATAATTATCATATTGTCCCAACTCTACCGCCACAGCCGTCGTCGTCGTCGTCGCCACACCATCACCGCCACTACATACAATGTGCTATCGCCTTCACCACCTACAATGCACCACCATACCACCGCTTGCAACACAAACCAATCAGTACCGCAAACACCACCTCCACCTTCATTGCACTACAGTCACCACCAACTATACCTCAATCCACAACCATCGGATAACCCAACCCCCCACCATCACTACCACCACATCCACCTCCACATCTATGTCACAGCCCTGGTGAAACGAGATCGAAAGAATCGAATACTAGACTATAGGTTGTTCTCGATTCATTGATCCCCAAAAACGAGTTCTTCCGCAACCCAACAATTTATTTTGTCCTCGATCTCGTCAGAATACTACTCGCCATCCCTACCACTTCACCACCTGCACCCATTGGAATCTCATACACATCGAAAACAGTATTAGAATCTCACACAACCACAACCACCTAACCAAACACCACCCAACAAACAACAACTACAATCAACACCACAAACACAACCATCTGTGACTAGAGAAAAAATAGAGGAAAGACCCCCTGATCTACAGCGCTGATGAGGAAACGGCAACCGGCGCCTCACTGCGTGCAGTGCCACACGCAACGACGTCGCCCAATCCACAACCAATCTATGGCGCGTTGCTGTTTGGGTTTATCGACATCTTCAGCTGCACTGATCATCGTGTATGACTCTCATCGCTGGTGAGAGGTTAGAGAGGGTGAGAGAATATAGATTTAGGAGGTTGAGAGAGAGAGAGAGAGAGAGAGAGAGAGAGAATTAGGGTTTGTGATTAAAATTGTGTGGGGGTAGATTAATGAATTTTTGAATTGTTATATTTTGTAAAAATGTTTATATATATATATAATTAAAAAAACTCTGATTTTTGAACTAGTAAACATGATCTATGATTTATGAATTAAGATCTCCAAATCTCTTGATCCCTGTAATTTCCACTTAAGTAAACCCTAATTAGGGTTAGAGTCGGTAATGAACCGACTTTATAATTTCATATATAATGGTTAGGTCCCCTCTCATCTTCATATGATTTTGGCTTGCCCCATTAACGGCTGATTATTTTGAGGAGTAATGAGAGGGAGATCTAGCTGATAATATTCATACATAACAATGTCTTCCGCATGTATGAATTTCTAACTATCAATTAATTTAATGTGATTCTTATTCTTAGCACGATTGTATTGAATAACTACAATAATTGGTATCAGAACGGTGTGTTAAGATTGTAATCCTTTAAAGA